CCGGTACATCCACATCCTTGTCTAAGGCCTAATTTTACTGGGAAAAAATTTTCCCTCTTTCCTAATCTCTAAATTGGCCTCACTACCTCTAAAAACTCTTCACTCCTTTCAGTAACCACCTCCTACACCCAAAACTTGCAACCTGCCCATTTTTCCCCCTATCCCCCTGTCTAACCCTTTTCCCAAAACCCTAAATTCCACAAAGACCCTTTACCTTATTAAAACTTTACTTATATGTTTCACTGTAAAAAACCCGGTCCCACACCCCTACCTTTTTAAAGCCTCCCTTGTTCTTCTATCCTATTCTCCTTTATTTAATTCTTTCAAAAAATCTCCATACCTTTACCGGGATACTCAGCAAATTATCCCCCCATAATTTTTTTCACTCCTTTTTTCCCCCTTTTCCTTTTACAAAGGAACATGCTGCTCTCTGCCAATCCTAGGGACCTTACCCTTTCCTTTCATTTTTTATTAATTGCACCAAACTCCAAAACTATTCCCCCCTGCTTTAACAAATTCTACTTTTTCCCATCAAAACCCGGCCCGCCTACCCCCTTTTATTTTACCTACTGCCCCACAAATTCCCCCCCCTCACAATGGCCCTTTCCCCACTCCTCAAGATGTTATTCCTCCTTTTCCTATACCGAAATCACAGCTTCCCCATCTTTTCAAAATTTAACAATTTTCAAATATTCCCCCCATCTTCCCCAATACCTCTAACTCTCATTTTAACCCCTTTTAGGGCCAAGGCCCCAAACGGGGTCAAAACCTAGGCCCAAAAATTTTCAAAAAAAAATTTGTTATTTTTTCTTTTTAAAAGTGAGAATCTTTTTTTGAAGGTAAAAACAAAAAGTAGAAATTTGGGGGAAAATTGACGAAAATTTGCTCTCAAATTTTGATGTGTCACGTATTTACGAATCGGCGATTTTGCCGACTTTGACTCCCATTTTTAGGCCAATTACATTATTCCAATCAACCAAATTCTTAGCTATTTCACTAGTATTACTTCTATTCTATCGATTGAGCACAAGAAATCGCCAAGTCAACTGTTTCAACTACAAAATAAAGTGATCGGAAATTGTTAATTTGGCCAATTTAACACAAAGTTCAAAATATTCCAATTTCAAAATAGGGTCCAGAATGAACAATGTAGGCATTCCTGGCACTAAACAAACTTTTCCCTTTGTTCATTAGTTTTTTTGAGGCTTTCAAAAAAATTTCCCTTTTGATTTTTTATTTCCCAAATGATTTTTTTAAACCCCAAAAAAATAGAAGATTTACTGTTATGCAATCTGTAATAATTGTTAAATATCATCACCTTTTGTGAATGATATTAGCCCCACCCTGAGTGTTTTGACGTGGGGAGGTCGTTTTTTTTATTTTGAATTCGGCAAAAATTTTAAACTTTTGTCTTTGAGTCAGTTTCAAGCCTTTCCGTGCTAAAACCAATCAAAATCATCTTATTTCTGTAATATGTCTTCATTTATCAAATAGCCCAAGAAATGCAAAAAACTAAAAAAAAGGGAAAAAACACTGCAAAGTTGCTGTTTTAATCGAAAAATATGATTTCTTTTTTTCTCTATTTCACATTGTGCTGCAGGTCTGTTTTATGTGGGCACACATCCCCACATAGATGTAGTCTCTCTATCTAGGCCAAATTTCCCACTCCAGTTTACAGGTGAGCTGAGTTTGGGTGATCTAGGGTTTGGACCTAAACGAAAACCCATGATCTACGGGAGGACCTAAAGGGGGTTTAATAACTCCCCCTCCCCTTTTTTTAAATGACAAATCCATTTGTTTCTAGGCTTTTTTTAAACTTGTTAATTCACTCCAAAACTTTTTTTTTTCAACAAAAAATTTGTTGATAACATTCACCCACTCTTCACTTTTTTTTATTATTTTTTTTTTTTTATTTTTTTTTATCCACGGGGCCGTTCCCCCCAAGGAGGGGGCCAAAAAAAGAAAAACTTTTACCCTTTCACCCCATCACTTTTCCCAGAAGGGTGCTTTACATACGTTTGAACGCAACTTTTACACCCCTCCTTTCTTTTGTTTGTTGGGTTATCTTATTAAAACTTGGGAAAGGGTATGAGGGGAAAGATTTCTTCACGTACCCCAAAAAAAATGAAGAAATCAGACCAAAAATAGCGGATTTATTCTCGCCATTAGGGGCCCCACTTAGGGTTATTTTTGTAGGGTTTGTTAGGGTTATATTTCATTTTGCGTCTTTTGATAGAATAAAAGAATATTACAGAAAAAGATATGATTTTGATTGTTTTCATGTGAAAAGTACCTTGAAATTGCGCTCACGTAGCAAAAATTTTCTTTTTTAGCAAAGTAAGAGTAAACAAATACGTCACCGTCCAATACCTGTCCGCCCCGCAGTCTAAATTCCCGATGGAGTCAAAAATGGTTGCATAATTTATTTCAATTATTTCAATTGAGGGTCTGCATAACAGTAAATCTTTTTTTTTTTTTTTTTTTTTTTTTGAATAAAAAAATTTCCAAATGAAAAACAAGAGTAAAATTTAAAGGGGGGCCCGTAGCCATTTCTAATGAACGAAAAAAAGTTATTTTAGTGCCAGGAAGTCGCATTGTTTATTTTGGATCTATTTTTTAAAATTTGGGATATGTTGAAATTTTTGTGAAAACAGCCATATTGCCAATTTTGACCACTTTATTGGGTAGTTGAAATAATGAATGGGCGGTTTTTTGTACTTTCGGGCAGACTAGAAGTAAAAAAGTTTTTTCAGGTATACACAAAAAAGTTACATAGATTATCAAACATAGCAGTGTATGTACAGAGAACCCAGGAACCCGAAAAAGTCAGCAAGGACTTTTTTTCCCGTACCTGGCTTGGGTTGCCCTATATGATTTTTGGTAAAAAAAAATTTTCTCGGTTTTTTTTGAAGTATCTCACGAAGTGGGCAAAGTATGTGGAAAAAATGCTTTTAATGACAACAAAAATAAAAAAAGGACGATAAATAAGGGGGGTTAACTTCTCGCCTTTTGCCGCCCCTTTGCAGTTATTTTGTATGGTTTTTTTGGTTGTATTCTCATTTTTTTGGACTCATTGATAGAATGTAGATTATTCAGAAATAGAATGATTTTGATTGCTTTTATACGAAAAGTACCTTGAAATTGAGCTCAAAGTAGCGGAAATGTTCGAATTTTGCCGATGTTCAATGAACTGTGTAAGTCAAGTTGATTAATTTTATTAAGTGTATTCTAACCTAACCACTCTGTAATTCAGCAAACTCAGTAATCCGGCACACTGTAGGTCCAAGTGATGCCGGATTTGTGATGGAGGACCTGTAGCAAGGCGTACCTGTAATCTTGCATATTTATGAGACAGACGAAAGACACCAGCAATCCTACCATCATGTAAAACAATTACAGACTTTCGTTTCACACTCACTTAGCAGGACGGTAGTACCGCCCTGGGTGGTTGCTGTCTACCAACCTACTACCTATGTACAAGCATATATATACACACTCCTCTGGATTTTCTTTTGTTTTCTTATTAGTTATTGTTTATTTCCTCTTAACTCCATGGGGAAGTGGAACAGAATTCTTCCTCCATAAGCCATGCGTGTTGTAAGAGTCAACTAAAATGCCGGGAGCAAGGGGGTAGTAACCCCTAAGGAAAAATTGAGTTACATTATTTACACCTCAAAAGCCATTTTTTTTTTTTTTTTACCAATTTCTTATCTTCTCAAAAATAATAAGTTTTTGAAAAAGCCAGGTGGAAGTTGCTGTTGACTTGGTTTGTTATGTTTACCTTCCAGAGAAAACTGGCAGAACTTATTATGACACAGCTATAGTGAATGTGGCACTGCTGACCTATAAACACTACATGAAAACTTTCTGCACCAACTTTATTAACTGATACACTTATACCATCCCATATATTTTTTTTTCCTCCAAGATGGACAGAGTTTCATGCTTATTCCTCTTCATAGCACTTCCAGCTTATCTAGTATTCTTTTTTAGTGCATTAATATCCAGAGATAAGACAGTGGCTTGCTTGGTAACATTCTCAGCTTACTGAGGAACAGTGGCTTGCTTGGTAACATTCTCAGCTTACTGAGGAACAGTGGCTTGCTTGGTAACATTCTCAGCTTACTGAGGAACAGTGGCTTGCTTGGTAACATTCTCAGCTTACTGAGGAACAGTGGCTTGCTTGGTAACATTCTCAGCTTACTGAGGAACAGTGGCTTGCTTGGTAACATTCTCAGCTTACTGAGGAACAGTGGCTTGCTTGGTAACATTCTCAGCTTACTGAGGAACAGTGGCTTGCTTGGTAACATTCTCAGCTTACTAAGGAACAGTGGCTTGCTTGGTAACATTCTCAGCATGTTGATGTTGGGCATCTTTCCTCGTATGTTTGTCCCCCCGATGTTCACTTAACAATGAGTAGGTACCTGGGTTTTAGTAGACTGTTGTGGGTCGCATCTCTGGGGATGTTAATACACCTTAACAAAACAAATTTTATTTCTTTGCAAAGGTTACATTGTGTGATTTACATATTATGAAGTGTTGTTAAGTGAAATGCAAGCGACTAACATACTGGTTCATTTCAAGCAGACGAATACTAATGCATACACACTACTTAGGTTGGTCTGGGCTTTGAAATAAGCTGAGTTAAGATAAAAAACAGTTCTTAGCTTGAAGATTCAACTGTGTAAAAATAAGTGTGATGTGAGAAGCACTGTGCAATAATTATAATAATCTTGGGCGGTGCTCCTGCATTATGTCTTTTCCTAGTCTCTTCCTGGATATTGTCTATGCTATGTGAAGGAATTGTTATTATTATTATTATTAATCTTGCATGAATCACTTAACACTTGAAGTTAAGTGAATTGCTGTACAAGTGGTACAGTTTATATGGAGCCTCTGTTACTTTGTAAGAGGAATGGAATACCGAGTGAGAAAAAGTTCTTAATGTTTAAGAATTGTTTAGATGTATTTTTCTAAATACATTAATGATAAATTTTCAGATTTGTATCTTTGGAGGACTGTGGTCACACCATTGAAGTGCAGGGCCTAGAGGGCTGGCTCAGTCAACAAACTGAGGAAATTGGTATGAAGACTTGTCCAAAATGCAGGAAGCCCATCTACAACAATCGTCGCTATCAAGACATAATACTTCAGACTTATGAAACTGTGAAAGCTGTCAAGAACAAATATTATCAATCTCAGTCAAAAATAAAGAGGAAGGATATTGAAATAGTGTTGCAAGGTAAGACTAAATGTTTGTTTATTTTCTATGCTATTTTATTTGTATACTGTGTGCATGTGCAGATGCACGTGTGTGTAAACTCACCTAGTTGTGGTTGCAGGGGTCGAGCCATAGCTCCTGGCCCCCCCTCTTCACTGGTCACTACTGAGTCACTCTTCCTGCTCCATGAGCTTTATCATACCTCTTCCTAAAGCTATGTATGGATCCTGCCTCCACTACATCACTTCCCAGACTGTTCCACTTCCTGACAACTCTGTGACTGAAGAAATATACTTCGTAACATCCCTGTGATTCGCTTGAGTCTTCAACTTCCAACTGTGACTCCTTGTTGCTGTGTCCCATCTCTGGAACATCATGTCTCTGTCTACCTTGTCAATTCCTCTCAGTATTTCATATGTCATTATCATATCCCCCCTATTTCTCCTGTCCTCCAGTGTCATCAGATTGATTTTTCTTAACCTTCCCTCATAGGGGATGCCCCTTAGCTCCGGGACTAATCTTGTTACAAACCTTTGCACTTTCTCTAGTTTCCTTACGTGTTTGGCTAGATGTGGATTCCAAACTGGTGCTGCATACTCCAGTATAGGCCTAACATACACAGTGTACAGGGTCCTGAATGATTCCTTATTGAGATGTCGGACTGCTGTTCTTAGGTTTACTAGGTGCCCATATACTGCAGCAGTTATTTGGTTGATGTGCACCTCAGGAAATGTGCCTGGTAAGTAAGTAAGTTCATTCAGGTATATACAAATACAGTTACATAGATTATCATACATAGCAGCATATGTGTAAAGTACCTAGGATAACCCAAAAAAGTCTGACAGAGTGACTTATTTCCATTGGGGTCCTTAATAATAATAATAATAATAATACACCTACCATCTGACTTACAACCTGCTTGACATACGTCCACTCGACTTACAACCATGTTTTTTATGCCAAATTTCTGGGAAATAAACAACTGTTTGTGTTGTACACAGTGTTTATCCTAAACCTCATGGTATAAAATACAGTACTAACAGCATAAAAAGTAAAGTAAAAAATGAAATACCAAAATAAAACCATAAAATAAAATCATTACAAAAGTGTGATGTTGATATTCAGTAGTAAGGTACGACTTACATCCATTTTGACTCATGACTGGTTGGTCGGAACCAAGCTTGGTTGTAAGTCAGATGGTACCTGTAATAATAATATTTTATTTGGACATGATACATAGTTGTACAAGGTATTATAGTAGTTGGGTCTACATATCGAAAGCCCCTTGTACGCAGAGCACTACGGGCACGCTTAAAGTTAACTTAAGACTATCTAAGCTATAATAGATTTAATGGTAACAGTTACTGTAGATAATTTACAATATCAAGTACAATTGAGTTATTTTAAACAATGAATTTGAATATTTCAATTTTGAAACATTATAGTTTTACAATTTTGTAACATTACAGTTAGTAATATAACAAAATGGTCAGTTTACTATATGTAGTTGTATAATTTAATAATCAGATCTAATCAAATCATATCAGTGATCTGTAGTGCAGTAACAGTTCATATGGTCATTAGATGAGTTACAGTGCATTCAAAAGAACAGATTATTCTATTAGGTAATGCTATAAAAACATAGTTTGATAAGGTTTCTCTAATTATACAACTGGGTTATACATTTATGAGATATAAGTTATGCAATACAGCAGGGCCCCGCTTTACGGCGTTTCGCTTTACGGCGTTCCGCTAATACGGACATTTCAAATTATGACCAAAACTCGCTATACGGCTCCCCCCACCTGTCTTTCTAATACAGTCACAGCGGCCCACCGAGTTTGTTTACATTCTCCCTGAGCACATCTCCTTATTATGTCTGGAAACTTTCCAAAATTTCAAGTGTTTTAAAGTTATTGTATATTTTATATGTATTGTACTTGATAATTAAACTTGTGTACACCTGTACCTAAATAAACTTACACACTGTGCTGGCATGTAGGTACACATTAAAATCACTAAGAGTCTCTCTACTCTTGAGCAATAATAATAATAATAATAATAATAATCTCTTGGGCGCATTAATGTCGCATATTACGTTAATATAGACATTTCCCTTAATCTATGATATTTTTTTCAAAATTATATAAGAAACACATTATGTAACACATAAACATGATACATGCACCCACAGTATAAAAATTTATACAAATATATATGAGATGTTTACCAAACGGTTTGTAGAAGTGTCGGAAGAATTACGTTTTCTCTAGCCCGTCACCTGTTACTAGGGATAACTGTAGAAAAATATTCCTTTCGTATGCCTTCACTTTATAGCTATAATTCTGTACTAACTTGTACACAGTGTAAGAGTATTTGTTTCGTGATTTAATTATTATAATAATAATAAAAATATTATAAGGTAAAAGTTTCACAAACTCTTACAAATGTACATGAATGAACTAAAACTGGACACGTATTAATACCGTCTATTTCGCCTGACCGAGTGATCATCCACAACCTGTTCAGTTTGTTTGTTTACGCTGTCTGAGCTCGGTGTATCATTAAATGTTGTATATTACGTTAATATACACATTTTCATTAATCCATCCGTGATATTTTTTTCAAAATTATATAATAAACACGATACATAACATAAATACATAACAACATATGTGTAGATAACCTAGGATAACCCAAAAAAGTCAGAGTGACTTATTTCCATTGCCTTCACTCAGAGCATCATTTCTTCTCAAAATGATGTTACATGAGAATGGGAGTGGTTCTTCTTTATTTATTCTACTGTATCAATGTAGAGACAACCTGTACACAATGTAACTTGTACACAAACCAGACGTGTACACTGTTTACAAAACTTACCTTCGCCTGGTTTGTTTACATAACACTGCGCCTGTCCTCTCTCATGCACTCATTCTTTCTCTCTGGTATGGTAGCCTGGCTTACTACCATACATACCACACTTGATTTTTTACAATAAATACTACTCATCTCACCCTATATTTTAAGGTAAGAAATGAGTGAACTGTATATACATTTTATCGCTCTGGGATGCTTAAATATCATAGAATAGTATGTGTGGGTGGGTTGGCCTGGTATGGTAGCCTGGCTGACTACCATACATACCACACTTGATTTTTTACAATAAATACTACTCATCTCACCCTATATTTTAAGGTAAGAAATGAGTGAACTGTATATACATTTTATCGCTCTGGGATGCTTAAATATCATAGAATAGTATGTGTGGGTGGGTTGGCCTGGTATGGTAGCCTGGCTGACTACCATACATACCACACTTGATTTTTTACAATAAATACTACTCATCTCACCCTATATTTTAAGGTAAGTAATGAGTGAACTGTATATACATTTTATCGCTCTGGGATGCTTAAATATCATAGAATTGTATGTGTGGGTGGGGTGGCCTGGTATGGTAGCCTGGCTGACTACCATACATACCATACTTGATTTCTTACAATAAATACTACTTGTCTCACCCTAGATTAAGACTATAAATATTTTAAGGTAAGTAATGAGTGCACTATGTGTGTATTGTACTTTTTTATTGTTTTTTGATGCCTGGTTCTATTGCTAACTTAATATATGTTAGTGTAAACTTGTTATCTAGTGTTTGTATGCATTTATAAGTGGAAAAAAAGGGTGTTCCACTTTACGGCGGTTTCCACTTTACGGCGGTAGCCTGGAACCTAACCTGCCGTATAAGTGGGGCCCTCCTGTATTTGCATTAGGTTAGATATGAGAATTTATTGATCTGTGAGCATTTAATTATGGGGTCCTAAGGTTAGGGGAGTAACACAGTGAGTAATGATATTTTGAGGCAGTAGAAAGTGATTTGTTAACTATGTAGGTAAAGTTAAATTAAATACTGTGTAATTAGTTTTGGGTGAGTAGGTGGTTTTAAAGAAGAGTCTTGAATTGATATACAGACAGTGTTTCTTTGGTATTCACTGGTAATGAATTCCAATTTTTTGGGCCTTTTATGTGCATTGAGTTTTTACATAGTGTGAGATGGATACAGGGAACATCAAACAGTGATATGTGTCTTGTGTTATGGTCATGTGTTTTGTTAAGGTTGGTAAGGAGAACTTTGAGGGAGGGTTTATATCTGTGTTTAGTGTTCTATGTATGTAGTAGGCACAATAAGTATGGATGTTTTTTTACGGTGATAAAGTTTAGATTTTGTATATTGGTGGAGTGTGCTGTCTGGAGTGGGAATTTATCATTCTGACTGTAGCCTTTTGCTGGGTAATTAATGGTCTGAGATGATTTATTGTTGTTGAGCACCATGCACAGATTCCATAGGTGAGATAGGGGGTAAATAAGTGAGTGAGACAGGGCAAGGAGAGCTGATTGTGGAACATAGTACCGTATCTTCATTAGTATGCCTACGGTATTGGAGACTTTCTTGGAAAGTTGTTGTACATGTGTCTGAAATTTGAGGCTATTATCAAGGTGGATTCCTAAGAATTTTCCCTCTGTGAGTTTTGTGATAGGTGATTCATTTATTATTATGTTAAGGGGAACATTTGTAGCTCTGTTCCCAAAATAATTGAAATAGGTTTTGTCATTATTGAGAGTAAGTTTGTTAATCATCATCCAGGTAGATATTTTCTATAATTCAGTGTTTACAGTATTGGCTAGCATGACTGGGCTTGGGTGAGAGCAGACGTATGTAGTGTCATCTGCAAATAGTATGGGTTTGAGTAGTTGAGATGCATTTGGTAGGTCATTTATGTAAATGAGAAAGAGAAGTGGACCAAGGACACTTCCCTGTGGGACCAACTGTAATTGGCTGTGTAGAAGAGTTAGCTCCATTCGTGTACACATATTGGCTTCTGTTCCTAAGGTATGACACTAGGTTGCTGAGGGAGATAACATCTTATTATCATACTAAAAAGACTATCTACTACACGAGGGTCATTAAGACTATCTACAATACGAGGGTCATTACTAGGAATAAGGTAAAATTACATGTGTGT